CGAAGCGGACTTATCCAGAGTCTACGAAGCCCTCAAAGGGCAACAAACTCGGACTTTAAATAGTCTCGTTGCTACCAAGTATAAGAAATGACCGATCGTAGTACTCAACCAGAATACACTGCCATGAAAGTAAGGATGTGTAGTACTCATATACTCGAAACTCATCATGAGTACGACTGACGAGTACTCAAAAGTCCCGAGTACTCATGGGTACTCGCGGCATTTTCCAGCGTGAGTACTTTTTGAGTACTCTCTAGGTGAGTACTTCCACTAGGGTTATCTACAATAATATTTGGTAGAAGAACAAATTTATGTGAAACATTAGAACGATTAACTTATCAACAAGAGATCGACAGCAACGATGACATAGAAAGTAAGAAGTAACATACATCATTCATATTCTTTGTTTCTAATTACCTCGAATATATAATACTTCGATTTCTGTAGGATTTTGTACTGAATTAATATCATCGAAAATGAAATCTCTGAAATATTTACATTTAAATTTATGTCCTAAACCATCAACTGTCGATGAAAATCCATATTATCATAGTGATTCAGAAGACGACGAAAATTTTATTGTTTTATCCTTATTTAACAACCAGAAATCATTAAGTAATTTAGAAACAATTGTAATTGGTGGTGAGGAATTTCAATTGCATCTTCTTATATTTTACTACTTTTAATAGATATTCCTGATAAGTCTACTGCTTCGACAAACACAAGAACCACATTATCATTTAAATCAATGGTTGAAAATTTATTACCTTATGTACCGAAATTAAAGAATTTATCTATTAGTTCAATTTTTTTCTATGATAACGATAATCGAAAATACTACAAGGTATGTACTAAACATTCTTAAATCTTCTGAATATAGCATCAATTAAGTTTCAATTAATTCTTTTTTTTTTATTTCTATGATAGGTACCATCATCGACAAAGACAGATCTGCTTGTTCCAGTAAATTTAAAAGTAGTTAATCTCTGGATCGATAAGAGTGATAATAAGAAAAAAAACAGAAAATTATTAAAAGATTTCTTTGGCATTAACAATTCAACCGATATGACAACAATTAAAATATTTAAAATTAATAATAAAAATGGTCGCTCCCCGATTCGTCCCTTATTCGTCCCATCTCAAATTCGCCCCACTCTAATTGAGTCCTAACTCGTCCCTTTCTCAATTCGTCCCCGATCCCAATTCGTCCCTTTCTTAATTCGTCCCTAATTTCATTTAAATGCACCTATTATAGTGACATCTTGTAGAGGATAATTACTAACCATTGTTAGGTAGTCATCGACACATCATGTCGTCAACAATTTTGGGGTGTGGGTGCGGGTGTGGGGGTGTGGGTGCGGGTGTGGGTGCGGGTGTGGGGGTGTGGGGGTGTGGGTGTGGGTATGAGTGTGGGGTGTGGGTGAAGAGAAGAACCACACCCATTCACAACCACTTCCACATCCACAGCGACATCCATACCCACACCCTTTACAATATAAGCTCTTGATTGATAGACAACTAGGGACGAGTTGGGAGTGACCGAAAAACGAGAAAGGGACGAATTTGGAAAAATTCAGAGTGGGACGAATAGGGGATGGGACCAATCAGGGACGAATCGGGGGTAAACCATAAAAATGTTTTAGAAGAACAGTAATTAACTTTAATATTTAATACTCTATGAATTGATCATTCAAATATAATCTATTCTTATAATTTTGAAATGTATTTCGTGTTTATATAGTTTCAAAGATCATGATCAGGATGCAGATAAACAAGACAATGTTTGAAGTAGATTTCAAGATAGGTATTGTTCTGAAAGTGTAGCAATGTCAGAAAATGTTTTGTACTATTTTCTATCAGCAGAACTGACTTATTTGAATACAAAAATTGACATTGAATAATATATCCGTTATTTTACACGAAAAACTACTATGACTTATGTTCTAGGCTATCTTGAGGGTGAGGATGAGTCAAAGCAAACCATGATGCATTTTGACCTTGTTTAAGGATCTCATCCAATGCCTTTTTACCAGCGTATTTATTCGAATGATCAAAATGATCAGGTATAAGATTCCCCTAGTGAAACTACTCATCAAGCGAGTACGACTTGCCAGCATGAGTACTCAAGTTACTCGTACGAGTACTTGAAGAATTTTATGTGTATGAATACTGTATGTGTACTCATACGAGTACTTATACTAGTTTTACTTTGCAGATTAACTCACAGAAAAAGACGCGAGTACTCCGTACAGTACTCATAAGAGTTTTTCGCAGAATATTTTGTGAAACACTTATGCACTTGTATGCACAAAAATAAATTGAAACTATGTAATAAAGAAAAACGATGTAATTTTAAATAAAAAATAGAGAATAACTGTTTCCATGAATTCTATATTTTATCCTCTATCATTTTCTGATGATTGGTTTCTACGATTTCATTGGATGATGACTTGAAGAAAAAAAGAAAACGACTTTTCATTTTTAACTGTTAACTTCGCGAGTAAGATTTAATGTTAAATTAAGCATATTAATCGAAATTCATTCTAGTCTCAATTTCTAAATTTAGATAAAAAGTTCTGTATTAGCATAAAGTTTTTCAGATTGATGATGGATCGTAATAGAAAAAAAAAGAACTAACGACTTTTGTTGCAAATCGATTGCGATTTTAAATTATACACACGTGAAGACAATGGCTACAGACGCATAATTTATTTTTTACTTTTTTTTATAAATTGTTAAATGATTGTAAATATAAACGATTTTTAAACACTTATCTTTTTTGTTGTGTATCAATCAATACTGAATCTTTATTTGTAATCACATGTTTCAATTTCACTGAATAATCTATCATTTATTTTTCTCAAAGTTTATTTTACTGTCACTTAATCAGTTTACTGTGCTCTTACTTTATAAGATAGAGACAAAGAAATCTTCATCGTTCATTATAGAAGAAAGTTAGATATTTCTTTATCTCTAGTATTTGTGTTAAAAACTAATGCAGATAAAATAATACTTGTAACTCTCGTATTGATTGTTCTCTCATATTTTCAATATGTAGTATTGTATTTTGTGTTATTAATTTTATATAAAAAATAAAATGGACATAGTGCAACGGTAATGAACAGAATGTAGGCCTATGAGTATTTTACATAAACGACTAAAGTACTCAAAAACTATATAGGAGTACTCGTGAAACACTCATTATTTTAAGGCAAGTACTCGATGGTCGTACTCAGATTCTAGCGCGAGTACTCAATAGTCGTACTCAGATACTCAAATTCTAGCACGAGTACTACTGGTGAGTACTCAAAAGCCTTGAGTACTCATGAGTTCTCGCGGCATTTTCTAGCGTGAGTACTTTTTGAGTACTCTCTTGATGAGTACCTTCACTAGGGATAACTTATTCTCATAAATGATAGGTATCCTCAAAACACAATCTGGATTTCACTGCTGCAGCGCAGTTCCTCTGGTGGAAAATAAATCTAGATGATTGAAAAGAATTTCAAGACTAATTTGTAACTGTTATGCATCGATAAGTTTGATATATAATGATAATATCAGTATACAGTGTTAAGAATAGCTATCATTACGTAATCAGGAGGAAAACAGGAATTTATATCTAGCATTTATCTTAACTTACTAATCATAAACATCAATATGTTTTCGTTGTGAATGTTATCAAGAACATCCTCAACTTGTTTTAATAACTAGATTTTTTATTTTAGTTCTTTTTGAAGTGATGCGTTTTATAGCATTTATACTCGTTTGTGTATGTGCAAATAAATATAAACCAATTGATTTAGGATATGCAATTCTAGCTGCATTTACATTCATACATACAATTATGTTATTAATTATTGAATATCTTCACTATTATCGATTATGGTTTAATTATCGACCAGATACTTTAAATAAATTAAAACCAACATATAACCCTAATCATGAAGTTTTTTTATCCATTGGATCAACAAATAATCATCAAACAAGCCATTGGCAAAATTCTCGATGTGGAAAAGGTGAAAATTGTTCATCAGGAAATATTTATCATGCAATTATGTATCATTCTGGAAACACACGTTATCCACCAGATCAAACTACTGATGGTCAGATTGTTGCCGGTTTTCATCAAACAAGTCATAAGGCTGTTTATTCTATTGCTCAAGAAGGTTTAACCCTTCAAAGACTGGATGGATTGGTGAGGGTGTCTATTTTACAACATCACTTAATCATACAGAATTTAAAGCAAGTCAGTTTGGTGCATATATCTGTGCTCAAGTAGATTTAGGTAAAACAATACGCATAACTGATCCATCAGTTTGGAAATGTGCAGAAAGATATGACACAATTTATTATGCGCATCCCCGTGGTGCTGATGAATTTTGTGTACCTAATCGAAACCAAATTCGTTCTTGGGTTATTGTTATCGATCAAGATCCAACTGTACATATTTTGAAAAGGTGGGTGTGGGAGTGGAGTATCCATTCACCCGCACCCACACAGCCACACCCTTGTTTAAGTTTATCTTATAAGAGATGACAACAATAGGGCCAATTGTTGTCATCATCTCTTATAAGATAAACTTAAACAAAATAACAAAACTCCAATACAAAAAAAATCGGATTCTGTTAAGTTGTAGCGCCGGATCCAGGCTACATTTTAAAACCAACTCGACGTTTCCAGCCTTTGAAATGGCAGAGAAATTTGGGACGCACGGACTCATTCATAATTTTTAAGTTAACTCTTCGTAGACGCAATCTATCGAGCTGAAATTTTTACTGTGACACACCAAGCCCAGGGCACACCTCCTCTGAAAGTTTCAGCAAGATTGAATGATCTAAAGCTAAAAATCACAATAGGATGTGAAGGGAGAGCTTTAGTGTGGAGGTAGAGGCTTAAAGATAACCATGATTTAAAAGAAACATTGTACACAACTTTCAAAATCTTCATTTTTGCCAATTTTTTTCCCGAAAATATTCAGTCCTTGAACTAGTCTTATTATTATTGGTTGTGACATATATTTTATCCGGTAACGAAATAAATTGCCCTCGGTACGTTGATTGAAATGAACTAACTTATCTCTGGAATAGTGAACAAATTATATCCAAAGTAATAGGACTTAATTGAGGAACTCTATATTTTCGAAAAAAAAATTGGAAATAATGAATATTTTGAAAGTGGTGTGTAATGCTTGTTTTAAATCATGGTGATGTTAAAAGAGAAAGAGATAAGTATTTTTTACAGCGAAATATGACAATTTGTGGAGAATCAGAAGATGAATCTTTAGAAAAAGAGATAAGGCGTGAGCGATAAGATAACGTTTAAAATGTTAATAAAATACTGAGACCCTCTTTTATTATGGACCACCTGATAGCTTTAAATTTTTGTTTCAGTATACTAATCGCTCTCATTGTATGGCATCACAAAACATAACTAATTAACAAATAGGCAAAATCATTGAACACATTTTCTTTTCAAAGAGTATTCTTCACCTGATTCAAGAGATTTTGATAAATCTTATGTACCAGTATAAATATTTATACATTTCAGTATATGACAAGCAGAACTTCAAATTCATCGCTGATTAAATCACAAGATTTAAAAACTTTTTATTTTTCTGATTGTTCATAGGATTATCAATATTAACTTTTTGTTAATGATGCTCCAAAAACTATTAATGACGAACGATAAATGTTGGTTGAGATGGATCAAATTTATATTCTTTTGAAGACCAGTAATATTCAACTAATTTGAGCTGGGTGTGGGGTGCGGGTGTCATGGTTTCAGAAAAACAACCCACACCCACCCTTTTCATATTCTTTTTTTCGTCTCTTCGAACATTAATTACAGCAGAGCCTTCATTATGTAAACAACGTAAGAAAATGAGTAGCTGTTAGTTCTCATATCTGATTGCTTGCTTATTTTTTCGCCATGAAGAGAGAGAGAGAGAGAGAGCATCGATCTTTTCATTTTTTTTTTCATTTCTTCGAACATTAATTACAGCAGACCTTTCATTATGTAGACAACGCAAGAAAATGAGTAGCTGTTGACTTTCATATCTGATTGCTTGCTTATTTTTTCACCATGGAGAGTGAGAGAGAGCATCGACCTTTTCATTTTTTTTTTCATTTCATCGAACATTAATTACAGCAGAGCTTTCATCATGTAAAGAACGCAAAAAAATGAGTAGCTGTTGGCTTTCATATCTGCTACCTTGCTTATTTTTTCGTCGTGGAGGGAGAGCGGTGACATGTGCATCTTTCTCTTTTGATCATGCATGAGTGCTCGCCGTAGCGAGAGACTGATAAAAGCTAGTGCTCTTCGTGTTTTTTACTCAATTTTTTTTTATCGTCACTTAGATTGCAACCTGTGAATTCTCCAATCATTTTTAATTAAAATTGTTCTTCGACATTATTCAACACTAACTACTTCTATCAGTGCACGATTTATAGTATGTATGGTTGACTTGATCGTTGCTTGCAACAGTGATTGCTGTTGTAGTGAAAAATATGATACTGAGTACAATTGTATAACTGTTCTTGAAAAGGGACTAGAAACACAACAGTCTATGGCAAAGAGACAATACAAAGATAACTCCTATTCTTTGAAACTCTGTTGCACTACTGTATCGATTTTTCCTTAAACTAATGTTCTTATATCGAATTTTGAATTTGCTATAAATTCATATGTGTCATCGTATGTTTCTACCAGAGAAAGGCTTATAAAAAATCAAAATGAAATATACAACTTAGTGTTCGAGATAGTTTAAAAAGCTTTGCCTACTTGACAATATGATTCCATCGGCTGTTATCCAATGATAGATAGCATATTAGTGAGCTCTCTTACACCGTTTTGAAGAATATTTCACAAGGCATATTATAGCGGACGAGAATTAGAAAGTTGGTTGAAACTACGTGTAAGCAACAGAAAGCGGATTTGTTTAGTATTGACAAGCAATTAACGGTTTCAATATACAACAAAAGTATGCGTGACTTGTGTTGGGTCCCTTTTTCTCAGTGACAGTTCTTTTTTTGACACAAAACTGTATCTAGTGTGGTCTTCTATGGACTATGAATAATCAATAAAATGCTTAGCTGTACTCTCATGGGAACAAGCTCTGATAATATTTCCTAAAGTTTTGGCTAATATTATAGTAAGAAGTTTTCTGAAAAAGTGGAATCACGAAACTTTGGTCTGGTCTTTTGTTCACGAACATCTGTATTTGTTATTATAGTATACTAACATTATTAGCTACAGTCGATGCTTCTTCATAATATAACAAGTGGTGCTTAAAGAATAGTGGTTTCAGTATTTTGTTAGTATCTCGACACGTTTTTCTTATTTAGAGTGAAGTTTTTTTCTAAAAAAGTGCGTCGTGCAATTCTCTACGAGATTCTGTTCAATCATTTCTAATCCAATTATCCAATCACATCGGATTCATCCAAATTTTCCTTCGGAAAATATTTGGAAGACAGATTTTATGTTACGCATGTCGAGCTGACGTGGAGCCATAAGACAAAAAGGTTGACACCTCTTTTAATGCAATGGTAGTGTGTCTGCTCTGTAAGCAGAAGATACGTGGTTCGACTCCCACGAAGTAAGAGAGATTATTTTGAGGAGATCAATAGAATACATTTGCCAGAGCATGTAGTCTACGTTTTCAAAGCTAGAAAACCTACAGACGAGGTCAAAGAGCTTCAATAAGTGAAAATTGCCAAGAATCTTTCTCTTGTGAAGCTTACAGGAAAAGCTCTAGAAAACTGTAAAAAACCGTCAGAAACTTCTGAAAATTATGTTAAAAACCAAGAAACTATAGTGGGTTCGAAAGCAGAAAATGTACACTATTCAACCAGGTACAAAGCTCAAAAATCGATATTTTTGATAAAAATGAGAGTTTCTAACAGGACATCTTTAAGGATAGCTTATGATCATTGGCGAACTATTAATTTAGATTTTCGGATGTTAGAATTTCATCATTCTCGACGTTTTTCGTTAACATACGGTTGCGAGAACTAATTAGTTCCATTGGATCTTCGTATTCTGGATGAATCGAAGCCGATAGATGAAACTGATCGGATCGGATGAGATCTAAGATGCTCTACTGTCAGAAAATTGCTGGACTTCATCGTAATAAATGAAAATCAAAAACACATTTCATGATAGAACCAGTTTATTTTTTAGCATCGGGACATGTAGGACCTAATCGCGTTTGACAACACAGATCCAACTGGAATCAATGAGGTAAAGTAATCGGATATAAACAGAAAACACTGGAATTGATCGAATTTCGGCACCTATCCGTCAATCCGATCCGATGACCATGTTCAGTCAGATTTGAGATCTGTCCAATAGAAAAAACTGAAAAACGCGAGAGTTCGAATTTTGTAAGTGATAATTTTTTACAGTCACATTCTTTTCTCTAAGTCGACGGGATTGTATTCGCAGAGTTGATCGAACCATCTTGTAGAGAATTACATGGCACATATTTTAGAAGAAGCTTAACGCTAAATGAAGGACACTTATCGAAATATTAACAAAATACTGAGACTACCATTCTTTATGCGTCACCCGTTAGATTATTTCGAAGAAATGCTCCAGTTCTATCAAAATATTCGAAAACATCACATTTTCCAGCTCCTATATTTTGTATATATGTTTTGAAAAAAACGATCTAATTACAAAATAATCCTACATGATTGTTATATTCCAATAAAGTGCCATTCTAAGACAGAAGTTGTAAACAAATACTGTATAGAAAAGAGAAGGATCCCAATTGCATTCACTACTGGATTTAAGATGTCTCTCACTTATAGATATAAAATCAGTTTACTTATTTTCAGTAAATTACAACTGTTTTGAATACTCAACACATATCAAGTTAACTGCTTCGTCCGATTCGGCCATTCCATTATTCACAAGGAGTTACAATGCAAAACTTATCACAAACAACGAATGAAACAAAGAGTCGACGATTTGTCCAAAGACCATTAGATAGCAACAGTAATACTTCACCACATTCGAAAGTTTTATTCAGCATTCAAAACTTCATTTTGGTTTGGTTGGATTCGAACATCGTTGAATCCAATGATGATGTTTGTAATTCCATAGCTAAACTGCGACAGATTGTCAACAGAATCGATCGATTCACTGATGTTAACCAATGTATAGACTTTCTTACCAAAATCGAAAAGGAAAATATATTCATCATTGTATCGGGTAGTCTTGGCCAATCTGCGCAGCAATGTCAAAGGTCCAAAAAATGTCCACTTTACTTAAAGTCCG